TCTCGGTAGAGAGATCAAGGATAAAGTGGCTCAAATATGCAGATCCCTATAAGAAGTTATTCTGGGAAGGCCTGAATAACTTCCCACACACACACCATCGGCCCGTGGAAGACCAGGGGACCCCCGGACTGGCCCCAGGTAAGTGAAACTTGCCGACCCCTGGCATAAGCTGTTAAACGTGGCCAGAAAGCTGAATGAAGACTCAGCAACAAAACTGATATAGGCACAGTTTGTTATCATTTCAGAGTGCTTCAAGAGATTATTATATTTTATTGCAGTGCTACTCAAACTCAGGGCTACAGTTTCCTTAATCTAGTCTATCCTCCTGTAATGGCATCTTTCTCTTTTCATACTGCCTCCCACTTTACCAAACATTATCAACTATTTTAATGAGTTATGTCATCCCATGATATGGCCAAGGTACCACAGCCTCAGTTTGGTCATTCTGGTTTCTAGTTGAGAGTTGAGGCTTGATTTGCTCTAAATCAAGCTTATCTATTCATCTTTATGGCAGTCCATGGTATCTACAGAATTCTCCTCCAGCATCACATTTCAAATGAGTTGATTTTTTCCCCAATCAGCTTTCTTCACTGTCCGGCTTTCAGACCCATACATAGAAACGGGAAATACGATGGCATTGGTGATCCTGATTTTGGCATTCAATTATGTATCTTTATCTAGCTCCTTCATATTCTATGTGAAGCCAATTTGTTTGGTGTTTCGAGGGATTTTGCTGCCACCAAAACTTTCACAGTTTCAATGACTGACAAAGATATATTTATTCTCGATGTCATTTGGATGTATAAACCAGATTGTGTGAACTGTTTTATTTTTAATTGAAGGGAGCAGAACATCAGTCGTTGAACTTGTCTATTATTGATGAACTCTTTTAGTATTATATAGCTTTTAAATTATGTACTTGCTGTTGTTTTAATGACTTTGGGTTTTTTGTTATATTGATTTGTATCTATTCAAGTGTAAATTGCTTCACAATAGCTTTTCTGAGAGATTTAATAATATTAATATTAATATTAATATTAATAATAATAATAATAATAATACACAAAAGGAAATAAGGCCAACTAATCACAATTGAGATTTAATTTACAGTAGATATCCATAATGTATGCCACAAGTGTCCTGACATATATTCTATCTACACCCAAAGTGTGATAGAGCTGGATTTCATAATAATAATAATAAAATTTATTTATTTCCTGCCTCTCTATAAAAACAACCGAGGCAGCTTACAAGACAAAACAGACAATCCCTTCTCTGCAATAGCCCCCCCCCCACATCCTCCAGATTATGACTGTCTCTGACTGCCAAAATGTATGCTGAAATCACTTCTGCCACTTTAAAATGTCAGTCTGCTGTCACCCTTACGTATCGTTAAATGTGGATGTTTGCTAACTGTCTGCACTTCAGATTACAGTTGTTCCTCCTTGTTCGCAGACCTGAGGTCCGCAGTCTCACTCATCATGGGGAGAGACATCTGCCATATTTAAAATGGCCGTGCACACACCATTATTTCCAATGGGGCTCCAAAATTAGTGAGTTGCCATTTTCATGGAGTGTGTGTATCTGAAACAGATCACCCATGAAATGGGAGGGGCAATAATAAAATTTGTTTATATCCTGCCCCTCTATAAAAACAACCAAAGCAGCTTATAAGATAAAACAGACAATCCTTTCTCCCCAATAGCCCACCCCCAATGCAAAGGCCAATGCAATTTTAGGCTGCATCAACAGAAGTATAGTGTCTAG